GCAATAATAGGCAAAGTCTGGACCTACACCCAGGTCTGGCTCATGGATGATTCTATTCTGTGGTTATTCTGCTTTTTATCCCTTTAAAGGCGTTTTATCTGGTTCAATATCATTGATGGCAACAAAATTGGGTTGGGGGGCAGGAGGAGACTGAATGGCAGAGACTCATGCAGTTCACAGAGAGCAAAAGACAGAATTGGGACAGAACCCAGGAGTCCTGGCTACTGCCTACTGAATGTCCAGGGAATAAGTGAGTGAGGTCGAAGCTCCACCCTTCCATGTGTCTTTGTGAGAATTTGGCTGTGAAGGAGGCTGGAAATATGCCCAGCTTAGTCTATTAATATGGATGAGAAGACATGATTGTGGTGGACACTAGACAATCTTTGCTACAGAACCTGAATAATACCTACCCATTTATTGTGCTCCAATATATGCCAAAATAAAGGTGCATATATTCCATGTTGATTTTTTTTCCACTGTCAGAGGCCACATACACTCCCCCAGAGAGCCAGAGAGACTAAGAAACAGGAGAAAGCACTCCCGAAGGGGTGTGGTCATGCTGCACTCTCTTCTCTATTTATCCATTCTGCCAGGATTTTGGACATAAACGCCCATGTGCCTGGCATGTTTTTCAAGCTTCCAGGACCAGGATTCAAACCATAGTGAGTCATGTGAGGTCCAGTTCCCTTAACTACTAGGTTGCAGGGAAGATCCAAAGATGCATACCTTTCATGTTCTGCTTTGTTCTCACAAAACAATAAGTACATCCTCACTATCATTTATCAACAAAGAGACTGAGGCACTGAGAAGTTTAGTATGTTACTTGAAGTCACATATGAGCAATAATAGGCAAAGTCTGGACCTACACCCAGGTCTGGCTCATGGATGATTCTATTCTGTGGTTATTCTGCTTTTTATCCCTTTAAAGGCGTTTTATCTGGTTCAATATCATTGATGGCAACAAAATTGGGTTGGGGGGCAGGAGGAGACTGAATGGCAGAGACTCATGCAGTTCACAGAGAGCAAAAGACAGAATTGGGACAGAACCCAGGAGTCCTGGCTACTGCCTACTGTTTTGCCCAGCCTCCTCTGGCCCTCCAAACAGCTCCTGCCCCAATTCAGACAGCCTACGGAGCCACCAGGCAGGGACATGTGTATTCTTTGGGACCACTGAGCCCAGAGCCCAGCCTTAAACTACAGCAGCATATCTCAAATTTCAAAATAGAAAATCTACCAACAAGGATGACAGTGATGGCCCTGCATCCTTTCTCACCTGTGTAGCAAGTACCTTCTGAGCTCTGCTCATGGCCTTAAATCAACTCTGTCCTCTCCCAGAAGGAGAAGAACGTTTATTCTCCCGGGCTTGACTGTTGGCATGTAGGAGTTAGACAGTAGAGAGTGATTGGGCCACCAGGGTCCCCAGATCCTCCATGAAGTCATCCCCACACTGTCGTCAGTGTCAGTTGCCTAGCAACTGCCTTGGCAGATGGTGGCACTGAGAGCATGCCAATCTCTCCCAGGGCTAAAAATACATTCCGACGACAACAGGTCTATTTTAAAAGATACAATGCGCTCTCAACGTCTTTCCTTGTCTGCAAGGAACTGTGCTGTGCTGGGTCTCTCTGGGCTTATGGTTCTCTCTGACAGGGTGGAAGGGAACATTCGAGGAAAAAGAAACACAGGACCAGGCACCAAGGGGGTGCTCAGAAAATTGTCATGGATTGGGAACCAGCAGTTAGCGTAATGGCTATGTCGCTGGACTCCCACATAGTCGACCATGGTTCGCGTCCCGGACCCGATGGCTTAAAACTCACGCCGGGCACGTGTGCGTGCGTGCTCAAGATCCCGAGAGGAGAATGGAGGAGAAGGGATTGCGGCGTGACCATCCCCCCTGGGGGATGATTTCTCGCTTTCTGTCTCTATGTCTCTCTCTGTCTGTCTGGCGAGCGCACGCACCCTATAACGAAAAAACCTCTCCAAAGGAAAAAAAATAAATAAATAAAACAAAGAAAATTGTCATGGAGGAAAAGAGAAAGGAGAGAGAAGAAATAACCATCTGGGAAGTATTGGGTTGTAGTATTTTGTGTTCTATACAAAAATGCATCATGCCATTTCCAACAACTCAATGAATATCTAAATAGTTGGCTGCAAACCCTCTAAATTGCCCATATATATTTTTTTACCTATCCAGGAAGGTAGGGTTAAGGAAGAAAAATCATAATCACAGAAGCCTAGAGCTGGAAGAGATGCAAACCCATGTGACAGATAGAAACGCAGAGGCCCCAGGAAGTTCAGTCAAGAAGAAGAGTGGACCCTTTGCCTTGACTTGGGTATGAAGTCTGAAGTCCCTGGTGTGGGCATGAGGCCTCGGATCTCCTAACTCTGCTTATCCAGTTATCAGCATGTTATCATCCCACAGCTTAGGCATTCTGTTTAATTGCCACCGTGCAAAACCTTCTCTGCTATAGAGTGGCAAATTCATTCATGCATGCATTTAGCAATTCATTTATTGAACAAATATATATTAAATGACTACTGCCACAGAGTGCTAGGCCCTGGAGATACTGCAGAGGAAAAGTACATGTGGCCCCCACCTTGTGGTGCATGTAGCTTTCCAGGTGAGGTAGGCATAGAGCAAGGAGCACAAGGGTGCCCGTGCCACAGACAGCAGAGTGCAGGCCGACTTCTTAGCTTGGCCACCATAGGTTACCCCTTCACCAGGTGACAAGGTTGTAAGATCAAACAGATGAGACTGAGCTACACTTGGATTTCCTATGAAAAAAAAGTTTTTGTTTTTGTTTTTAAATTAAAAAACAACAACAACAACAAAAAAAAAACGATGTCCCCAATATAGTATTATCTAAAATTCAAATTAACTGTGCCTTCTGTATTTTTACTTGCTAAATCTGGCAACCCTATACCTAATACTACTTTTGACAGGGTGGAAGGGAACATTCGAGGAAAAAGAAACACAGGACCAGGCACCAAGGGGGTGCTCAGAAAATTGTCATGGATTGGGAACCAGCAGTTAGCGTAATGGCTATGTCGCTGGACTCCCACATAGTCGACCATGGTTCGCGTCCCGGACCCGATGGCTTAAAACTCACGCCGGGCACGTGTGCGTGCGTGCTCAAGATCCCGAGAGGAGAATGGAGGAGAAGGGATTGCGGCGTGACCATCCCCCCTGGGGGATGATTTCTCGCTTTCTGTCTCTATGTCTCTCTCTGTCTGTCTGGCGAGCGCACGCACCCTATAACGAAAAAACCTCTCCAAAGGAAAAAAAATAAATAAATAAAACAAAGAAAATTGTCATGGAGGAAAAGAGAAAGGAGAGAGAAGAAATAACCATCTGGGAAGTATTGGGTTGTAGTATTTTGTGTTCTATACAAAAATGCATCATGCCATTTCCAACAACTCAATGAATATCTAAATAGTTGGCTGCAAACCCTCTAAATTGCCCATATATATTTTTTTACCTATCCAGGAAGGTAGGGTTAAGGAAGAAAAATCATAATCACAGAAGCCTAGAGCTGGAAGAGATGCAAACCCATGTGACAGATAGAAACGCAGAGGCCCCAGGAAGTTCAGTCAAGAAGAAGAGTGGACCCTTTGCCTTGACTTGGGTATGAAGTCTGAAGTCCCTGGTGTGGGCATGAGGCCTCGGATCTCCTAACTCTGCTTATCCAGTTATCAGCATGTTATCATCCCACAGCTTAGGCATTCTGTTTAATTGCCACCGTGCAAAACCTTCTCTGCTATAGAGTGGCAAATTCATTCATGCATGCATTTAGCAATTCATTTATTGAACAAATATATATTAAATGACTACTGCCACAGAGTGCTAGGCCCTGGAGATACTGCAGAGGAAAAGTACATGTGGCCCCCACCTTGTGGTGCATGTAGCTTTCCAGGTGAGGTAGGCATAGAGCAAGGAGCACAAGGGTGCCCGTGCCACAGACAGCAGAGTGCAGGCCGACTTCTTAGCTTGGCCACCATAGGTTACCCCTTCACCAGGTGACAAGGTTGTAAGATCAAACAGATGAGACTGAGCTACACTTGGATTTCCTATGAAAAAAAAGTTTTTGTTTTTGTTTTTAAATTAAAAAACAACAACAACAACAAAAAAAAAACGATGTCCCCAATATAGTATTATCTAAAATTCAAATTAACTGTGCCTTCTGTATTTTTACTTGCTAAATCTGGCAACCCTATACCTAATACTACTTTTTTTTTTTCCAATTTCTTCATCTATAAAATGGGAAAAATAATACCTACTTGCAGAGCGTATTCTGTGGATTAAATGATAATGTGCACATGTCTGTGAGTGGCAGATAAGTATCGTTTCTTCCCCTTTCCAAACAGGGTTTATGTGTGTTTTGCCCTGGCCAGCTTTATGTTCAGCCAACTGGTGGAAAGGAGAGATGTGCAGGTTAGCTCAGTCCCTCCCTCCAAGGCCTAGCAGTGGGTGATGGGTAGGGGTAACTGTGCCTTGTCCTAAGACAGAGCCAGGGGATGAAAGGAACCTACAAGTTGACAACTAACTTGACAATGGAACTAGAAACCAATCAGCCATGCTTAGGTGTAGGTGAGAGCTGGCAGTTCCCTGCTAACTGGGGTGTTTGTTAAAATATAGATGCAGGTGATGTGACAGTTAAGGCACTGGACCCCACATAGCCAGCAGCATGGTCTGAGTCCTAGACCAGGTGTCTTGAAAATCACCTTAGGTACATGTGTGCACATGCCCAAAATCCATAGAGGAGACTAGAAGGGAGTGCGGCGTGGTCATCCCACCAATGGTTGATTTCTCATTTTCTTTCTCTCTCTCTCTCTCTCTCTGTTTCTCTTTGGTAAGTACGCATACCCTATAGCAAAAGCACTAAATAAATAAATAAAAGTAATTTTTTTTTAAAAAAAGATAGATAGGTACATAAAGAAATATAAGTGTCTTTCAACAAAATCACTGGTACATCTCTGGACTTGAAAGTTTGAGAACCACCCACCTGGTTGCTGGGAGGAGTTGCCATTCCCTGAAGAGGCAAAATCACAAAAGGCCACTTTGGAATGTGGGCCCTGGACTGGAGCCTGGAACAGAAAAAGGACATTGGTGGGAAACTGGGTGAAATCCTAAAAAGTCAGTAGATGAATTAATGGTCTTGTACCCATGTTAATGTCTTAGTTTTGATCATTGTACCATGGTTACATAAGACGTTAACATTAAGGAAGCTCAGTGAGTGGTACATGGGAACTCTCTGTACTATCATCCCTACTCTTGTATAAATCTCAAAGTATTTCCCAATAAAAAGTTTTATTAAAAGTCTGCTTGGGCTCAAAGCCTGTCTTGGGCCTTTACCCAGTCCTCTGGTGAATCAGTCTGTCTGCTCTAAGGGGTGTTAGCTAAGCATTGCAGATAGCTGAGAAGAACCCACACACACGAGGTACCAAGGAAGCATTGCTTCTCTTCCCTGCCATTCACAATGGGGCTTAAATGTCAACCCCAATGAATTACATTTTAATCTGTCTATATTATCATGCTGGCCAAGGCCCTAATTGGACACCAGGCCCACCCACTGATGGGCATGCATAATTCATCAGCTTCCAGGCTAGAGAAGGTCTTTCATCTTGAGTCAGAGAGGAGGGAGAGGAGAGAAAAGAGTAGGGGAGGAAGGCAGAGAAGGGAAGAAGAGAAAAGTGGGGAAGGGAGGAGAGAAAAAAGGAGGAGGAGGAGGCTAGGAGGGGGGAAGCAAGGGGAAGAGGAGAGAGAGAAAAAAGAGGAGAAAAGGAGAATATAAACCAGGGGAAGAAAGGGGAAAGAGGAGAGTGGGAAGGGAAGAGTTAGAAAAGGAGGGAGAGCTGGGACCAGCAGATGGCGTAATGGTACATTGATAGATTCCCACGTGGTTGACCATGGTTCAAGTCCCAGACCCCAGCAGCTTAAAATTCATGCTGGGTGCATGTGTGTGAGAACCTAAATCCTGAAAGGAGAATGGAGGAGAAGAGATTGCAGCCTGGCCATCCCTCCTAGGGAGTGACTTCTGGCTTTCTGTCTCTCTGTCTCTCTGGCAAGCACACATACCATATAGCAAAAATCTCTCTAAAAGAAAAAGAAAAGGAGGGAGAGCTGCTGGGGTTTGAAGGGAGGGGCGAGAAGGGGCCTGGAATGATCTTTGCAGTAGAGTGCTAGCTTTAAGTTCTGCTCCAGGACCATTTCCTCCCGTACCTCTTCACTCATTCCCCAGGCAAGCTCAGACCCTCCTTCCCAGGCTCTCCCATAGCAAAAGGACATATCTCTGCCACACTGCGGCTGCTAATAAGGTTCTATAATGTTTATTAAAGTGCCTGCCTCCCCTGGACCATGAATCCTCTTCCTGTGGGTTGATGTCTGAATTGATGACAAATAACCTTTGTGTAGCACAGTTCCCACACTGAACGTTTGTTGAATGACTGATTGAAGGATAGGTTTCTAGCTCGGACCATACAAAGAAACTATTTTAACAAATTAATCCAAATAGGATCTAATCCACTGTGCCCCCTGGCCCTGCCATCAAGCTTGCTCTAGCTGCTTCCTGATCCTTGTGTCACCCTTTTACTCTGCTCCAGCCTCTGTCTTCCATCTCTCATCTCCTAAGACCAAGAACCACAGAGGATGGAGCTGACAGTGACACGGCAGTAAAACACGATGCTCTGTGAGGTGTTCACATGGGGAGGCTCCCAGTTCGCTTCTGGAGGCCTCTCTGACTACCCCCAGACACCACATGGCCATGATCCAAGGCTGGCTAAGGCTGGGGGTGACTTGCAGTGGCAAGACCTTGTTAGAGGAGCTGTCTCTTTCTCTTTCTCTGTCTCTATGTCTCTCTCATTCATGCAGGAAATCAATAAAATAAAATAAATCTACACAGGAAAGTAAACACAGTCATAATGGAGATGAAGGGGAGAGTCTCTATTTCAGGGTTAGGGGGGCAAGCCTCCTGCTGCATAGTCAGGCACACGATCACCTCTCTGTTCCCCACTTTGCTCCCCACCCTGTCCAATGGTCTTCCACTCCATTTACACTGTTCTTGTCCAGGTTGTCCACTGACTTTGTATAGTCCAAGCCAACAGTGCTTCTCCATCTTCACCTGTTCTGGCCTCACAGCAGCACTGACCCCTCCTCTGACACACCCAAATCCTTCTCTTGACTCTTGATACCACACCCTCCTCCCTCTTCTTCCTTAGCCACTTCATGTACTTTAGCTTTGCTGAATCTCTCTCCTTTGGCCAACCTTTAACTGCTAGGGAGCCCCAGGGCTCACTCCTCAGACCTCTGCTCTTCACTGTGTACCGTTTCTACTTTATAATCTTATCCAGTTTCATGGCTTTACATGCCATCAAGTACTCAGAGTTCCTAAACATTATCTCCACCGTTGACCTCTCCCTTAAGCTCTAAGCACAAATATCCACTAGAATAGGTATATTCATTATCTATTACTACATATCAAATTATCCCCAGCGTGTACCAGTTTAAAACAATATACAGGTATTATTTCACATTTTAAATATTTCTGAGCTTGCTCTTTCTTCTGGAGAATGGGAGTAACTTTATCCTGCCTCTGCCTTATGTTGGCAGGATTCAGTTGCTGGCAGGGGGTTGTGGCTGAGGGTTTCAGTTCCTCACTGACCCTCGGCCAGAAGTCTCCTTCAGTTCTTTCCCATGTGGGTCTCTCAAGAGGCAGCTAACAATGGAGCAGCTGGCTTACCTTGGAGCAAAAGAATACAGGGACAAGAAAGGATACTCAAGACAGAGCCATTGTCTTTTTGCAACCTACTCTCAGAAGTGACACTCCATTATCTCTGACAAATTCTTTTCACTAGAAGTGCAGCACTAAATCCCGCCCACTCTCAATGGGAGATGAATGCACAGGGCATAAACAGTGGGACGCGAGGATCTTCAGAGGCCATCTTAAATAGGTATCTCAAATGAAACATGAACCTAGCTAAACTGCTGATTTTTCCCACCCCCAATTCTCCTGCAGTAGGGCTGGACTGTGTCAGGCCTTCAAATCCCACCTGAAGCCATTCTGAGATTTTTAGTTCAGTTTTGTTTTGTTTTAAGATTTTTTTTTTCCATAGGGTGAGTGCACTTGCCAGAGAGAGACAGAGACAGAGAGAGGGAAAATGAGAAATCACTCACCACACTGCAATCTCTTCTCCCTCATTCTCCCCTTGGGATTTTGGGCACGCATGCACATATGCCTAGTATGATTTTCAAGCTGCAGAGTCTGGGACTTGAGCCATGGTCATCCATGTGGGAGTCCAGTATTTTAACCACTACACCAAAGGCTGGCCCTACCCTTCTGAGTTTTATGAATATATGAAGACACACAGTCAGAGAAACAGACTCATTTTCAGCCAGGTCTAAGGGCTATAAGAAACTAGCTTCACTTGAGTGTCACTGTGATTAGTTTCATGTTCTGCTGGTTAAAGCCCAAGATCCTCGCATACCACCCAGGGCTCTCTAAGACCTGTCTTCAGCCAAGACTCTCTGCCCAAATGCTGATCTGCTCATTCCCTAGAAGACAGGGGCCCTTTTAACCTTAGACTCAGCTCAGAGCACTGCTCCCTCCTAGTGATCACTTCCTTGTCTCTTTATCTGGTTCCTATCCTTGCTCAAAGGTATATGTCAAAGTCAAATAACCACAACAGATGGAACAAACTTTGTAAATGCTTTTAAGATTCAGAAAAAGATCACTACTTTTTCATCGTTTGACACAATCCAAAAATGTTTTTCCATCTGTTGTTTCATTTGGTCTATTGAAAGTTATTAGGTGGGTTGAACAAAAAACAACGCACTGTAGAGTTGTGGAAATAACTAGAGCTGGCACGTTTTGAGTTATTCCTCATTAGTGTGCCTAGCACTTCCCATGAGTTAAACACACCGAGTCCTTTCAAGGTTCTGAGGTAGCTACTGTTGTTACTCCCATTCTCTAGAAGAAAAAGCAGGCTCAGAGATATTTTAAAATAGACATTTCATTGTCCTTGAACTAATAAATGGCTAATGCTGATATTTAACTCTGGTATCCAACTCCAGTTAACTGTTAACCTGTACCCAGTCACAAAGGAATGCCCACAGAGGTGCAGAGATTTGTTCTGGTCCTCAACACAAATGTTTTTCAATATTTTTTGGGGGGGATTTTTTGCTATAGGGCACGTGTGTTTGACAGAGAGACAGAAAACGTGAAATTGCCCCCCCCCAAGGGTATGGCCACGCAATCCTTTCTCCTCCATTCTTCTCTCAGGATTTTGGGTACACATGCACACATGTCCAGCCTGAGTTTTAAGCCGCCAAGTCTTGGACTCAAACCACAGTCCACCATGTGGGAGTCCTGCAATATTACCATTATGCCATCTGCTGGTCCCTGCCTTTCAATTTTTAATGTGCATATTGATCACTTGGTACAGTTATTAAAATGTATTAAAATGAAGATTTTATTCTGCAAATATGGGGAAAGGCCTGAGATTTTGCATCTCTAATAAGTTCTTAAGAGATGCTAACTTCTGATCCAAAAACCATACTCTGACTAGTAAGGCTTTAACCTACACTCCTCTTGGGAAGTACCTGCTGCCCTCTTCTCTCCCAGGTTGAGTCCTCCCACTAAGTATGTAAGTGCTTTTTTGGTGGTGCTTGCCTGCCTGCCTTCCTTCCTTCCTTCCTTCCTTCCTTCCTTCCTTCCTTCCTTCCTTCTTTTTAATTTCCTAGAGAGAATATGTACTCAGAGAGACACAGAGAGAGAGAGTGGAAAAATGGGAAAGTGAGAAAGCACTCCCTCCCCCAAAGGATGGTCACACCACAATCTCTTCTGTATTTCTCCTTTTGGGATTTAGGGCATGCATGCACACTCACTGAGAGTGTTTTCTCAAGCTGCCATGTTCAGGACTCAAACTGCACAGATGGACATATGGGATCCAGCTGCCTTAACCACCACCCTACCGGCTGGCCTGTGAGCTCTTATATTAAGCAAGGCCCACTCTTGCTATTGCAAGTAACAGAAAACCCATTTAAACTTTGGGTTAAAATAAGGAATTTGTTGAGTTGTATAACTGA